ATGGGTGGTGAGGAGATAATAAACTTGAAATGTCGCTCATGCAACTTGTTTTTTCTACTTTCATTAGAAAAGTCATTTTCCTCATTTTTAAGGAACTAGTTTCTTTTTAGAGAATATTTTTCAAACATTTTGATCAACCAAACACAGAAAAGGTGAAAATATTTTTCTCCATACCAAACATACCCTAATAGAAATTAACTAGATAATTTATTCACAATTAATAGTTCACCGATAAAAGCAAGCAACAAATCAAAGCATGTTAATTAAGTAAAAAAAGATAAAGATATACCCTCTATATGCACTATACATTTAAACATGTTTTAGATTATTCTTAAAAATTAATCAATTATAAAAGAAAGTTAAATGCATAGGTTACACAATAATTAGTTATCACCTAACTTCCCCCTTAACAGTGAAACGATGAAAAGAAGACGACAAAGGAAGAATAAAAAGATAAGAACAGACAAAAATCTAACTACAAGTAAGATCATATTTGGGAAAGAAGATGACAAAGCAAGAGCAAGTGAGATCAAATTTACAATTTAAATTTTATAAATTTGACTTTGACCATCTCAATTCATTTAATTTACTTTATTCAAAAATAAAACAAGAGGACAAAGCAAGAATAAAAAGATAAAGAACATTAAATCACTCACATTTAAGAGCTAACCAACTTCATAACCTTTTTAAAGACACTTAGAGACTATTTGGCATTGCGGAATGCCAAATATACTTATTTTGAGAAATGAAAGCAGAAACAATTTTTCTTGTTGTTAGGAAGAAGTTTCTTAAAAAAAAAATAGAACCACAAACATAAATTATTTTTTTCCAAGACGAAAATCTCTCTTCCATATTTACCAATGTATCCCTTATTAATTAATTAGCAGATCTCATAAGTTTGGTTAAATTTCATTTAAGAATTCTGTTTTTATATAATATATTTTTTATTATTTTATGTTTATTATTGTTATTATTTTATATTTGATGTGTTTTAAAATTATCATGTTAATATTATATCAATATTTCATTTATTTTTTTATGTATAATATTGATTGAAATTTGTACATTTTAATTTAATAAAAGTAAAAATTTGATTAAAATTTTTATAATAGATATTTAAAATAGTTTCTCTATATAAAATAATCTTAATATTAAAAATACATTGATATTTGTCTTTTTTTGAAATTTGATTTTTAAAAACACTTTTTAAAAAAGATTAGTCAAACACAAATTGCTTATCAAAAGTACTTTTCAAATGAATTAATCAAACATAAAATATATTTTTTTCTTTTCAGAAACACTTTTCTTTACAACTATTTTGAAAAATATATTTCTACAATTAAACAATTTTTAGCAATAATATCAAACATCCTCTTCGTATACAAACCAGCTACAAGTAGGAGCGTGAGAGTAATGTACCCTTTATATTAGCTATTGTATATAATAACAACTTATTAGTTCTATTTTGAAACTTGTCATTTTCATGAGATCCAAATTCCAAATGTATAACAATAGTAAACTTGGAAATTATATAGCTTTCTCAAAATATTAAAAAGAAATTAAATTTTAAGTACCGAGAAGGACAAGACAAAATAATACTACTCCCTCCGTTTCACAAAGAATGACCTGGTTTGACTTGGCACGGAGTTTAAGTAAATAAAAAAGATTTTTGAATCTTGTGGTCCTAAATTATAGTTAAGTCAAATGTACAAAATTGCCCTTAATCTTATGGTCTTAAACATGCCACGTGGAAAGCAAAAAGTAAATTGTTACCAAAAAAGGAAAGAGGTCATTCTTTTTGAAACTGACTAAAAAGGAAATGAGGTCATTCTTTGTGAAACGGAGGGAGTACTATTTTTCTGGTTACCCATTAGGAAAGTAAAATACCAAAGAAAAAAGAGATATAAGAGAATTCAAAACTGAAGATACTAGGTATTTATAGCCTATTAAGGAATTAGGTAGGTTAATTAAAATGATATACGTTTGTTGATTAGCTTTAAGATTTTAATTTAAGTTGTAAGCTTTTCTTGTCCCAAATTTGGTAGTGGTGTTTGATTGAGCATGAAATTTTAAGAAAAAAAATTAGTCTAAAAAAAATCATAGATATTTGTTTGAATAGAAGCTAATTTTAATAATATGATAAAAAAATTAAAGTTAAATTATTTCTAATAAAATTGAATTTGTTTTTGTACACGCCAGGAAGAGAAGTATGACGAGTATTTCCTTCATGTCCTGTCAACAGTAGTACCAATATCCTATCACACATATAAAATAAACAAGACACTGAATTCTATATTATTCTTAGAAGAACAGACCTCTTTGGTGATTTTTTTTATTTTTCTAACGTGTGCCCAATAAAAAAAAAATCGAAAAATAGTATGTATGTATCTATTCACTGAGCTTAAAAGGGAAAGATGTTGGATTTTTGATTGTGAGATGCAGCCAGTGTTGTCTCTATTCCTTTTTGCCTAAGGCTTAACATAAAAAAAGTTTTAAATTCAAACTAATTTACAAACCAAATTACAACAAGAACAACATACCCAGTGTGGTTTCATAAATGGAAAACTTAAAAGACAGATTATGGCGTTAAAATTCTTAGCATCAAAACAATCCAAATCAAACCAACTTATGTACTAGACAAATTACAACATACCCAATATGATACCACAAATCAGAAACTTACAAGCCTAATTATTTTGTTAAATAATTCGTAAATAACATAATTTTCTAAAAAGTCATCACTAACCTGTCATTAAATCAGATTAGGAACCCAATTTGTGATGAAATAATAAAGCCATACTGTCACAATGTTCCAAATTCAAACTTACTTGCAAGCCAAATTATGACAACTAGCGGACACTGCTTACACAAAATGTTGCAGATGCTATTAATTTATTTTGGCTATTCTCCTCAAGTAACTTTTATGAGATCATATTTCTCCAGAAAAATCAAAGGAAAAGAGAGAGTTTAGAACTTTTGAATGAAGTCATAGATGTGTTTAGCAATCACATCAAGCCTTTCTTGGATGACAAAATGAGCTGCATCTTCCAAAACCACAACTTCCACCAACAATGGATTATGGAACATCTTTCTTAAATTCACCATTATTACATACTTTTAGCACCTGGTATATGATAAATCAGATTGAATTCCCTGATGACAAACTTGGTCGAAACATTAACTTGAGTCTATGGTCATGGTGCTGTGAGTTCCCAGTTTCTACATTTCATCAGACAGAACTTTACGATATATGTAAAATTTTGGGCAACTCAAAACTTCAAATCCTAAAAATGTCATTTTCTTCACTAGTTAGGACTTAAGAGTACAAGCAATTGACAAAGGGACTAACCCCTGCTAGCTTCCATGTATGAAGAAGTTGATCAAGACAGTCTAAAAAAAGCAACTAATAACATCTATATATGTTGCTCGGACTCATTAGAAATGTTTCTATATGCATGTCAGATCCAGGATCCTCCAAAAATTGTGCATTTTGGAGAATCCGGCACAAGTATGGGAACAACTTTGGAGAGTCTGAGCAATATAGAATATGATGGTGTTCATAAACTTCACAATTATCTTGACTTCCTAGAAAACACGAAATTTATATCAATCAATTAAGTATGCGTTGATTACAAATTACCTAGGTTATCCGTTGTATTGATTCCGCTCCATTCAAGTTTGTTTCATTCTACTAAGTTCTTTCACAAAAAGTACTTTTGGAGAAGAGCAATTCGTATTTAAATCAACATTAAAAGCACCATTATCAATATTAAATCAATAGTTTGTACTTGGCCATAGTTCTAGAAACACTTATTTTTTTCCTAAAAGTTTAGTCATATACCTCAACTCTCTAAAATAAGGGCCTTTGAAAGAAAACAAGTATTTTTAACCTCCCAGAAACTTAGTCAAACATGCTATAAAATCTCATACATATTTCTTAGCGAACATACAAGTCTCAAACTAAAACTATAAGTAGGAGGAGTGGGCGTTCGGTCTTCGATTTATTTGATAATTCAATAATCAACAGTTAAAAGTAGATATCAAATACCGAACTTTTAATCAGTAAATCAAACTTTGATTTAGTACGATATTCGGTAATACCATATTGGAGTTGAAGCCGACTATACTATAAAGCTAATACTATTGCTCCAATTATTTATGTTTTTCAATGTGAATGCACGATATAATCGAAGATCAACAAATAAGAAGACATCAAATAAAGCAAATTGACACAACTAAAAGACATATGTGCCGTCCCCAAGGCCTAGCTCTAGTGGCAAAAGGTGGAGGATTTATGGCTTAGGTCGCAAGTTCAAGCCCCACACCATGCAAAGCGAAGTTCGGTATTTAAGTGGAAAAGGGTAGAGGGGCGAGCCCATTATCCACCGAGTTTAAAAGGCACTATAAACACAAATGGACAACCAATGCGAATTGTAAAAGAAGCATTTCTGTCTAATCTTTTCAGATTCATGTGATTGGTCCAAAGGGCAGGTCACAGACGAATTTCTCAAATATATAAAAAAAAGATTCTAATGTTTTATGACCAAATGTAATGCTATTGAGTAGTAAGTAATAACTAGGAAATACTACCCACTACAACATTGTGATTATTTTATCACTTTGTCCAGTTGATCAGAAGTCAACACATAAAAAGAAGAAAATCAAATGACCATTTCTTTTGTTAACGCTTTTGGATACATACGTATTTGGATTGTTTATGTTAAGTCTTTAATTTTCTCTTTGGAGTTGTACTGATAGGTTTGTTGATATATGGCCTTAATTAAGTAAATATTCAGTATTCGAAAATATACTAAATATTAAATGGTACCAATGTCTCGTACCAAACCTAATTCCAAATATCATAATTCTAAAATTTTACTCTCCAATACCGAATACTAAATAACCAAAATCCTCAGTTAGAATTTCGATATTTTATGCCTAGCCCTAACTATTCTCTTGACAAAGATCAAATCTAATGCAATTGCAATAATCCCAAATAGTTGAAACAGATGAGAACTATATAAGCATACAACTAAAGTGTCGAACAAATGCAATCAAATTCACAATATCACAGAAGGCGAGAATGCTTACATGGATATAGCTAGAGCTATCAATATGGGTTGGCCTAACCCAACCCAACCCAATTCTAACGGGCTAAAGAGTTAAATGGATTGGGACGAGCTGACCATTTTAATTAAAGGACCAATAAAATAACAGCCCAATCCAACCCTGAGTGGGCCACGGGTTGGGATGGGTTGGTCCTTCAACCAAAAAATGAATAATATTATTCTCTTAGAAAGAGTATCGAACGTTGACGTCTATGAATACGACATCAATACATACAATTTTTTCATTAATGAATCACACACTTCGATGAATACTTACAAAAATACATTTATGAATCACACACTTCGGTGAATACTTACGAAAATACATAATAGTCAACGTAAGATTTAGCAAAAAATGTTGATCATTCCACCATTCCTCCACAAAAAACTAGCTAGTTTAAAAGACTTGATTTTTTATTTTAAAAAATATTTATTGATAAAAACTTTACAAATAAAACACTACTAAAAATATATATAAAAAATATTTTTAAATATTCATTGCCCACGGGCTGGCCTCTGAGGCTTGCGGGTTGGGCCTACGAGGCTAGCGGGCCAAATGAGATTTGGCTAAAAAGCCTCGTTCCTAAATGGGCCAAAAAAAATTAGGCCCTTCCCCACTTAATTCAAGGATTGGGTTGGGCCGGCCTAGTGGGCCAAGCCCATTTTGATAGCTCTAGATATAGCTCGATAATAGTTAACTGCACCAATGAAACCAATCTAGTGAAACCATTGTTCAAACTTGCTGGCATAGTAATCCAACTATCCTTCAGAAAGCCCCTATGAAAGGGCAATCGGAGCATCAGGGATAGCCTCAAGGCTTAACCTTTAGGTAAATAAAAGGGTACAGAGTTGCGGTATGACAACATTTTCTTAAGAACAGACTTAGCACCAATTCGAGCAAACTCAGCTTCAATTTCACCTGATACCTGCAAGGTAAAATAATAGTGGATATTTTGCTGCTGAAATTACCAAATCAAAATTTAATTTCAAAAAACCTAATCCCTTATCAAACAAGGTGGTCTACAACCATTAGATCACTAGAAAGAGGAGCAAACTCAACTTGTTACCGCTAAATAGATATAAGCCAGGGACAGACCCAAAATGGGTCCCGACTTTTCAACAACGAAGGCGAAAACGTACTCTTTTCAAGTCAAAGTCAAAGTGGACTTTTTTATGGAATGCGGTTAGAGAGTTAAAATGAAAATTAGGGGCAAGTTAGTGGGACTGCCTATGTATTTGGTCAATAGTATTCTTAATATTATTATTGACAAGAGTATAGACACCAAGTTTAGGTACGGATTATAGATAAAAAGTACTAATGAGTCGTGTCATATGAAATTTAGGCTTTGATTTGACTAGGGAAAGAAGGGAAAAGAAGGGGAGATGAGAAAACAGGCAAAAGAGTATAAAAGCTTTCAATCCTTTGTTTGGCTCGTATAGAAGACGGGGGGAAATGAATGAAGAGGAAAATTGATTTACCTTCAACACACAAGTAGTGAATGTGAAGGGACAACGGGCAAGCATATGGTTTCCTCATTTCTCCGAACAAAAAAGTAGAGTTATTTATCCTTCACTTTCCCCCTCTCCGTTTTCCTTTTCGTTGTCTTTCCCTGATTCCCAAACAAACTGTTCCACAGATAACCAAGAATCCATCATATCTGAACTAGGTATAATCAGGTTTTTTTTTACAACACACTGGCAGTCTGTCAGATACACTAAACAAATTGGAACATACACAACTGAATTTTTGACACATTTTGAGTATGGTATATCCCGTGTTATAGCCCTTCGTATTGTGTCTTCTTCTTAAAAATAATGACTGTTTTTTCCCATCCAAATCTCCATTTAAAAAGAATTAAAATTTATTCAATCTTGCATCAAAGAAATGAAAGCTTCTCTGTATATGGTTGATGAAGGAAAATACCTCCCAAGGTGATAATTGACAACCCACATCATTTCCAGCCTGTTTTCTCGTCCAAAAATCTAGCACTATCATGACAAAACCCGCACCCCTTGACACACAAGGCAACCAACGTCCTCAAAACTTTCCTTCAGTGCCACATCATCATGGGTTCTTTTCAGTTAGGATGCATGTCTCCTCCTTCTCTGAACAACAAGTTAAGCAGCATTTTACTTTATATACTCGTTTATTACTGCTGAAATGTTAGTCATTTCAGCAGAATGTGCATCCTCGTGCTGTAAATTAATCGTATCAGAGTAAAACGTTGTTTTAAAGCTGTTCTCATTTTCTTTGCGTTTGTGAACCAACTTTTCAGAAACTGAATTTCTTAAATAATCGGCCAGTGGAATAGTAGCTAACTTCTGCCTAGATACACCCCTTTTGATTAAAGGTGTTAACCAAGATATTGCCTCTTCAGTCCGATCTAACTTGAGTAATCCATCAATTATCAGCTCATACACAGACGTATCAGCAATGAATTCTCTCTTCTCCATCAATCCAAGTATGCTAACAGCTTCCTCAATCATTCCAGCCTTGAAGTAACAGTGAATTAAGATGTCGAACATACTTCCATCCAACTCAACTCCCTGGCCCAGCATTTTATCTACGAGCTCTTTTGCTGCACTTACCTGTCCTTTATCACAAAGTCCTTTTACCAAAACTGAATATGTATCACCATTAGGGCAGATGTCTTTCTCAATCATCTGCCTGAACAATGAAAGTGCCCTTTCCATATTCCCTAGCCTGCAATATCCCTTAATCATCAAATTATACAAATGGATATCCACTTTAAAACCCTTGACATACATTTCCAAAATCAATCTCTCTGCATCATCAATCTTCCCACTACTCAAAAATCCATCCACCGAAAATTTGTAAGTCTCAACATTTAAATCGACTCGTTCCCTTTTCATCAAGGCCAAAATGTTGTTCATTTCTTCGAAATTCCATCTCCTAGCACAAGCATCCACCAAGGTATTACATGTAATAATATTAGGCTTCACCCCTTTAGACAACATTTCCTCCACTAATTCTCTAGCCTTCTTTATCTCCCCACTCTTACACAATCCATCTACCACGACCGTCAACGAAAATACTGAAACCTGAATACCTGATTCAACCATTTGATAAAAGAATACCAGCGCTAACGCGATCTGATCACACTTCAAAAGATTAATCAAATGAACAGTACATGTTCTCTCATTAATCTCAATTGCATTTAGTTTCATATACATGAAAATCTCTAAAGCCTCGTTGAATTTTCCGTTATCAGATAAAGCTTTAAGAAGCAAATTGAATATTTTCGAAGCAAACTTTGATGGAACATTGTGATTCTCAAAGAAAGAAGCTATAACAGCAAAAGGGCACCTGAAAATTTTCAATTCTTTAAGCATCAAAGAAGGAACAATGTTGATTATCAAAAAGCAAAAAGCTTTAACAGTAAAAGGGTACCTGAAAGTTTCAATATTTGGGACTAAAACTAAAAGGGTCTCAGCATCTTCAAAGTATCCTTCTTTGACAAGCCTGCAAACAAGTGTCAAGTGGGTTTCAACACCAATCTTGAAAGTAATGAAAGATTGATTAAGCATAAGGAAATTGAAGAAGTCGAGGCATTTAGGTGTGTTGATATGTGGGTCAGATAAAATAAGGAGAATCAAATTGGGAGTGAGGTTGGAGAGAAGAGTAGAGGGTGCAATGACTATGGGGCTTAGCACTGTATTGATAATGGTGTCTGCAATTTTTGCTCTAGGGTGAAGACTGGGATTTGGGATTTGCCATTTTTTGAGAGTTCTTAGGTTTTGAAGTACCTTTTGGAGTGACATTTCAGAGATTAATTTGGGACTTCTTTGTTTCAACTTTCTTTGGATTGGGCGGAGAAAATCAATGTAATGTTTAGGGGCTTTTTAGCTGAAGTAGACTTATTACTGGGCTTTAAGTTGATATCTTGTTGTCAAACTATATAAATCTCACTAGTTTGGGTCTTAATTATTAAAATTTCAAATAGTTTCAAATATTAGTTTTTCTATCATAATTTGTCTTAGGATACATGAGTTTGAATCCGCAAGATATATTAATATGCTGAATTCTAAAATCGAAATACATAAAGTTATAACTGATTTCCATAATTAGATGAGTAATTGAGATACATAATCATTATTTGTAAGATACATGTATTCATCAATTTTAAAAATTGAGATACACAATTTATTACGTTAAATTAAAGGGGTATAACTTATTTACTCAATTAAAACATCAATTGATGAATTGTGTATAAAATAGGGAAAATGCACAAGTACCCCCCTAGACTATGACCGAAATTCCAGAGACACACCTTAACAAAACTAAGGTCCTGTTACCCCCTGAACCCATTTTTTTGGTAATTTTGTGCACCTTGTTGGCTTACGTGGCATCCAATTATCTCTCACGCGCCTCAATTGCGTGGAGTCACGGAGTGTGCCACGTAAGACAAAAGGTGTACAAAATTATATAAAAAATAAGTTCAGGGGGTAATAAGACCTTATTTTAGTTAAGGTATGTCTCTGAAATTTCGATCATTGTCTAGGGGGTACTTGTGCCTTATCCCAATAAAATATGGTATAAGCTTAACTAGTTTAGATGTGCTTACTTTTTGTGTGTGAAATTTGTTTAGAATTACATGTTTGTATCTGGTATAGATTATGGTAAATTTAACAATATTGTTGGAATACCATCAGATTGAATAAAAGATAACACCGGTCTAGGGATGGTAAATTGTTGGATTTAGTTGAATTTGGGTGAATTGAAAATAGTTTGAATAAAAATAGGTAATTATCCAATCGGCCATATTCTATATGGGTAAGTATGATTTGTGTAACTAATGGATGGATGTAACGATCTATTTGGTCGTTTTGAGTATTACAACTTTTTATTTCATAAAAGACTCTTTTGATAGGCTCTAAATGAGTATTTTAAACTATTCGTAACTATAGTTATATGATTAAGGGGGTAGTTTAAATAATTAATTTAGTTGGTGGTTCAAAAAAATAACATTAAAATTAGTAGGGGGGCACTTTTACCATTTTTATAATTAGTCTTTTAATAATTAGGATAGTAATAATCTGTAGAAGAAAAGAAAAGAGGGGAAGAGGAGAACAAAGAGAATGCGGCGACATCAAAGATCAACTGTGCATTCTTTTGCGGGTACGCTTCTGTGTAAATGATTAACTACCGAATTTTTAACGAGTATAGTGCTTCTGTAACATCAAATAGATGGAATTAATGATTTGGATAGTGGTTGTTATAAGAGAGTGTGAGGTGGAGGATATATAGAGAATGAATTTGGGGGACAAAGTGTGCATATAATAACTATCTAATGATTGCCTAAGAATTTCTAAGGAAATTAAGGGTTGTATGTCAAATTTTTCAAGTGTGAGTTTTGGCTTGAGTCGGTGGCGTTCTTAGGCCACATTGTTTCTGGTAAAGGAATTCGAATTGACACTCAAAAGATTGAGGCAGTGCAGAACTGGCCAAGACCCACATCTCCAACTGATATTAGGAGTTTCTTGGGATTGGCTAATTATTATAGAAGATTTGTCGAGGGGTTCTCATCTATTTCGTCTCCGTTGACAAAGTTGACTCAGAAGACAACGAAGTTTCAATAGTCTGAAGCTTGTGAGAAAAGCTTTCAGGAATTGAAAACGCGGTTGACCACTGCCCCAGTGTTGACCTTATAGGAGGTACACAAGGCTTTGTTGTGTAGTGTGATGCATCGAGAGTTGGAATTGGTTGTGTTTTGATGCAGAATGACAAAGTTATAGCCTATGACTCCAGACAACTTAAGATTCATGAGAATAATTACTCAATCCATGATCTAGAGTTAGTTGTTGTAGTGTTTGCCTTGAAAATATGGCGTCACTATCTCTATGGTGTTCATGTAGATGTGTTCACCGATCACAAGAGTCTTCGGTCAAAAAGAGCTTAATCTCAGACAGAGGAGGTGGTTGGAGTTACTCAAGAATTATGACATGAGTATTCTCTATCACCCAGGTAAGGCTAATGTTGTTGCTGATGCTTTGAGCAGATTATCTATGGGTAGTACTTCCCATGTTGAGTAAGGAAAGAAAGAATTGGCCAAAGATGTGCACAAACTTGCACGATTGGGAGTCCGGTTGATGGATTCCAATGAAGGTGGAGTAGTGGTGATGAATTGAGTTGAACCATCACTAGTGTCTGAAGTGAAGGAGAAACAAGACCAACACCCTATTTTGCTTGAATTGAAAGCAAATGTTCATATGGTGTATAGAGTTATCAAGGTAGATTGTGTGAACCAAGGGTGGATGATCTCCAAGAGAGGAAGAAGCCCATAATTCTAGATACTCTATCCATCCTGGTTCCACAAAGATGTACCGTGACTTGAGAGAAGTCTATTAATGGAGTAGTATGAAGAGGTGTATTGTAGAGTTCGTTGCTAAGTGCCTGAATTACCAACAAGTCAAGGTAGAGCACCAAAGGCCCGGTGGTATGGCTTAGAATATAGATCTTTTGGAATGGAAGTGGAAAATGATTAACATCACTACAACATTTTAGGCCTACGGCCACCCCAGTAAAGTGTAGCCTAAACTATCCAAAAGTGTGGCCTTTGATGAAAGACTTTTGGATTTTAAGCAACACTTTTTAGGGGGTGGCCTAAAGAAGCATAACCTTTGACATTAGGCAACACTTTTTAAATGTTGCCATCACAACTACACTTATAAAGCGCAACCAAAGAGGTATAAGGGCACGCTTTGTAGTGATGCATTAGCGACACCTTTTTTTTTATTATACTACACTTAAAAGCGTTGCCTTTTCTTTGTTATTGGTCACACTTAAAAAGTGTTGCCTTTTGTATCTCATCTAGAGCAACACTTATAAAGTGTAACTTTTCTTATGTACAAGATAACATTGGACGTCCTACATCAATACTTTCAAAGTGTGGCAATGTTGTGTAGAATTTTGTAGCCAAAATTTTTTATTTTTAAGAATAATGATTTTTATTTGCATATATTCAATAATCACATAATTAAATATACAAGTGACCTAAAGCACAAAATTAACTATTAATTAAATCGAAGCTATATATTTCAAATAAACTTCGAGAAACATGTCTTGTACAACCAATACTTAGCTTAAAGATCTCTACTATCAATAAATTCCACAAAACCAAATGCATTCAAACATATATGACAATAGTACAAAAACTCTTCATCGTTTACTACAATAGATTTAGCTTACTTCTGGTCACAATTCAAATTCAATTACTGACATTTTCCTGCACATTCAAAATAAAATTATAAGTTAGTGAAATAAATCATGTATTTAATATGCTTAAATTCACAGTAAGCCAAACCAATTCATAACAATAAAGATGTGGAAGTGCATAATTGGAAAATATTCACTATAAGCCAACTAATTCAAAAGTAGACTCCTACTTTTAGGCCTGAGGAGGAAACACCTATAGTCCCTATTTGGATTTCTCTACCGGAGCTACCTTGGCATTGCTATCACAAGGACATCTTGTCAGCCCTATTGAGTTCCTATTGGCAAAGTTTTGTACTTGGACACTGCTTCTATCCAAAAAACTAGAGGAAGTGTTGCTAGGGTCAAAGTCCAAATCAATCTTACCAAAGAGAGACCTCCTCATGTGTGTATGGGGTTGAATGAAGAAGATCTCAACATAGGGAGGTGGCAAACTATTGAATATGAGCATATTCCGGATTACTGCATGTATTGTAAACACCAAGGACACTTGTTACATGTCTATACTATTAAGCAAAGAGATGAGGAATTTAAAAAAAGAAAAGAGTTGGAGACTGATAGGAAGAACAAAAACAAAGGGGAACAAGGCAAACAAGATTCCAGAAACCTACAAATGCAATACACAAATAGAGAGGATGGAAACACCAGTTCATAATACCAGCAACACAAAAAACAAGGAAATAACAACAAGCCAGCTGATGAAGAATGGCAGACTCAGATGAGGAAAGTTTACATACCAGTTCAACATAGCATGGACAGACCAAAATCTCCTAAGGAAACATTGCAGCAGCAACAGACTCATCACACATGTATGCCTACTAATTCTGCACTCCCTACTTCTAATAATTTCATTGATCTTTCTATGCAAGATCAACCAAACAATCAAGAAGGAGCTGAAAATCAGAATTCAAAAAATAAGGATTCAATGGAGACACAAATTAATAATAAGTCAACCACTGACTTACCTTCCACAGCCAACCAATTGTCAAATAATTCTGAAAATCAAAGCAAAAGGATCACAGGTATTGACTCTACTACTCCCCTACCCCAGAACCCCCTTGTTAATTGTTTGGATGAGGCTGTTGAAGTTATTGGAGGGTTGGAAGGGGTTGGAAGGAGGGTGTCAGGAGAACACAACTAATTTGCAGGATGGGGTATCCAAATGGGGGAATATGTCTCATGCTGGGCATGATAACACTCACATTGACCATAGTCTAGACCATAGAGCCCATGCTACCCCTCAGCATCACATTCAGAATAAACAACAAGTTCCAGACAGGTCTTAGGTTAATGCTACAAGTCAGGGTCAAGTGCAGAAAATTTAGGACAACAATGATAATATTTCAAGGAGGCAAGATCTTATTAATCTTACCAGTGAAACAAAGAAGACGGATCATCCAGGCCCTACATGTGATAACAGTCAGCATAATGGGAAAGATAATGATCAGACTCCTTCCAACAACAAATCAAAAGGTAAACCAAGCAAGAAAAAGAGAGAAACAATTAAAAGAAGACAACAAAAAGAGGATGAGATACATGGTACCAAAGTACAGGAAAGACATATTCCTAGAAACAAGAACCAGCAGCAACAGGATGACAACTTAAACCATATCAGA